GAGTATAGCAAAAGGCAGGTTTTCTAGTTTATTAAAAACTATAAAATATATTAAAACTTGAACATTTTCTTTTTTTTTGATTACTATACTGGCTTTCCTATGTATATTTTAACACATTATTTTGTTCAGTTAACTCTTTATTTATTTTATTAATTTCTTGAACACGTTCCCAACTTCCTATTACATAGTTATATGCATATTTTAATTGTTTTTTGAGATCTTCTATCTCATTTATTCTTGGAACTGAAGTAGATTAATATAGGTTTCAAGAGTATATAACATATTATTGGATACTTGAACACTAATCTTGTAAGTTTTATTACTAGCTTGCACAGCAACCTCATTAGTTTGTTTGTTAGCTTGCATAATATTACATATATTTATTTTAGCTTCTGTTTCAGCATGCTCTAAACGAGCCTGCTTTTCAACAAATTCATTATTAAAAATATTATTTATTTTTCTTTTTCAATTACTACGTCGATTATTAGGCAAATTACTGGGCAAACTACTAAGCAAATTACTAGGCAAATTTGAACTTAAAAGAATTTGATGTAAAAAATCAGATATAATTAATTGATTATAATGCTTTTCGCATAAAGAAAAATTTCTTAAATGCATTTGAATTTGAACTAATTCAGAAAAGAAGGTATGATACAATTGAAGACGATCCCTTGGTTTTTTACTATCTGCATGCCATATAATTTGTGATTCCTTCATTTCACATTCTAATAAACCAAGACTTTTATATTTTTCAAAAAAGCTAGCAAAGACACATAATAGATCTTGTGCTCGTGGTTGTTCGTTATCTGTCGCTTGGTTAGTTGTCACTTGGTTAGCTACCAATTGATTAGCTACTGCTTGGTTAATTGTCATTTGGTTAGCTACCACTTGGTTTGTTACCACTTGGTTAGTTGCCACTTGGTTAGCTACCTCTTGGTTAGCTGTCACTTGGTTAGTTGCTACTAATCAAAAAAAAAATTTAATATTAGTAATCTTGATGTAAAAAAAATAAACAAATAAATTCATTATACACTAGTTTTAGTTTTTATAACAATGTTAGACAATTGGTGAATGGAAATATTGTAGGTAGAAACTTTTGTATAATTAATAAATCCCCTATACTATCTAATGATGAGTAAGCTGAACTTTAACTGTAACATTTTGTTCTACAATAAAAAAAGATAAAATATCCTGAGCTAACAAAAAACCACATAATATTGAGGTTGTATGATGTCAGAATGGTTATTTTAATAAGAAAATGGGGGCCGGAAATGTTAGTAAAGTAAAGATCAAGGTGCTTAGTTGTTTTTTGACGAATTTCTAAAGTTAAAAAAAAGAAAATGTTCAAGTTTTAATATATTTTATAGTTTTTAATAAACTAGAAAACCTGCCTTTTGCTATACTC